CCGATTAAGGGGTAAGGAGTAAGTTGCACACATCTGAAACCCGAGGCTGCGGCTAGATATTGACCCGAGGAATAGATTGCGACCCTTATTTTGGCGATCAGACGAACCCTTGAGGCACTTTTGACGCGCCCCTTCCTTTAAGGGCCGATTAAGGGGTAAGGGGTAAGTTGCACACATCTGGAACCCGAGGCTGCGGCTAGATATTGACCCGGGAATCGATTGCGACCCTTATTTTGGCGATCAGACGAACCCTTGAGGCACTTTTGACGCGCCCCTTCCCTTAAGGGCCGATTAAGGGGTAAGGGGTAAGCTGCACACATCTGAAACCCGAGGCTGCGGCTAGATATTGACCCGAGGAATCGATTGCGACCCTTATTTTGGCGATCAGACGAACCCTTGAGGCACTTTTGACGCGCCCCTTCCTTTAAGGGCCGATTAAGGGGTAAGGGGTAAGTTGCACACATCTGGAACCCGAGGCTGCGGCTAGATATTGACCCGGGGAATCGATTGCGAGTGCGACCCTTATTTTGGCGATCAGACGAACCCTTGAGGCACTTTTGACGCGCCCCTTCATTTAAGGGCCGATTAAGGGGTAAGGGGTAAGTTGCACACATCTGGAACTCGAGGCTGTGGCTAGATATTGACCCGAGGAATCGATTGCGACCCTTATTTTGGCGATCAGACGAACCCTTGAGGCACTATTGACGCGCCCCTTCATTTAAGGGCCGATTAAGGGGTAAGGAGTAAGTTGCACACATCTGGAACCCGAGGCTGCGGCTAGATATTGACCCGAGGAATCGATTGCGACCCTTATTTTGGCGATCAGACGAACCCTTGAGGCACTTTTGACGCGCCCCTTCCTTTAAGGGCCGATTAAGGGGTAAGGGGTAAGTTGCACACATCTGGAACCCGAGGCTGCGGCTAGATATTGACCCGGGGAATCGATTGCGACCCTTATTTTGGCGATCAGACGAACCCTTGAGGCACTTTTGACGCGCCCCTTCATTTAAGGGCCGATTAAGGGGTAAGGGGTAAGTTGCACACATCTGGAACCCGAGGTTGCGGCTAGATATTGACCCGGGGAATCGATTGCGACCCTTATTTTGGCGATCAGACGAACCCTTGAGGCACTTTTGACGCGCCCCTTCCTTTAAGGGCCGATTAAGGGGTAAGGGGTAAGTTGCACACATCTGGAACCCGAGGCTGCGGCTAGATATTGACCCGGGGAATCGATTGCGACCCTTATTTTGGCGATCAGACGAACCCTTGAGGCACTTTTGACGCGCCCCTTCCTTTAAGGGCCGATGAAGGGGTAAGGGGTAAGTTGCACACATCTGGAACCCGAGGCTGCGGCTAGATATTGACCCGAGGAATCGATTGCGACCCTTATTTTGGCGATCAGACGAACCTTTGAGGCACTTTTTTTTGACGCGCCCCTTCCTTTAAGGGCCGATTAAGGGGTAAGGGGTAAGTTGCACACATCTGGAACCCGAGGCTGCGGCTAGATATTGACCCGAGGAATCGATTGCGACCCTTATTTTGGCGATCAGACGAACCCTTGAGGCACTTTTGACGCGCCCCTTCCTTTAAGGGCCGATTAAGGGGTAAGGGGTAAGTTGCACACATCTGGAACCCGAGGCTGCGGCTAGATATTGACCCGAGGAATCGATTGCGACCCTTATTTTGGCGATCAGACGAACCCTTGAGGCACTTTTGACGCGCCCCTTCCTTTAAGGGCCGATTAAGGGGTAAGGGGTAAGTTGCACACACCTGGAACCCTAGGCTGCGGCTAGATATTGACCCGAGGAATCGATTGCGACCCTTATTTTGGCGATCAGACGAACCCCTGAGGCACTTTTGACGCGCCCCTTCCTTTAAGGGCCGATTAAGGGGTAAGGGGTAAGTTGCACACATCTGGAACCCGAGGCTGCGGCTAGATATTGACCCGGGGAATCGATTGCGACCCTTATTTTGGCGATCAGACGAACCCTTGAGGCATTTTTGACGCGCCCCTTCCTTTAAGGGCCGATTAAGGGGTAAGGGGTAAGTTGCACACATCTGGAACCCGAGGCTGCGGCTAGATATTGACCCGAGGAATCGATTGTGACCCTTATTTTGGCGATCAGACGAACCCTTGAGGCACTTTTGACGCGCCCCTTCCTTTAAGGGCCGATTAAGGGGTAAGGGGTAAGTTGCACACATCTGGAACCCGAGGCTGCGGCTAGATATTGACCCGAGGAATCGATTGCGACCCTTATTTTGGCGATCAGACGAACCCTTGAGGCACTTTTGACGCGCCCCTTCCTTTAAGGGCCGATTAAGGGGTAAGGGGTAAGTTGCACACACCTGGAACCCTAGGCTGCGGCTAGATATTGACCCGAGGAATCGATTGCGACCCTTATTTTGGCGATCAGACGAACCCTTGAGGCACTTTTGACGCGCCCCTTCCTTTAAGGGCCGATTAAGGGGTAAGGGGTAAGTTGCACACATCTGGAACCCGAGGCTGCGGCTAGATATTGACCCGGGGAATCGATTGCGACCCTTATTTTGGCGATCAGACGAACCCTTGAGGCACTTTTGACGCGCCCCTTCCCTTAAGGGCCGATTAAGGGGTAAGGGGTAAGTTGCACACATCTGGAACCCCAGGCTGCGGCTAGATATTGACCCGAGGAATCGATTGCGACCCTTATTTTGGCGATCAGACGAACCCTTGAGGCACTTTTGACGCGCCCCTTCCTTTAAGGGCCGATTAAGGGGTAAGGGGTAAGTTGCACACATCTGGAACCCGAGGCTGCGGCTAGATATTGACCCGAGGAATCGATTGCGACCCTTATTTTGGCGATCAGACGAACCCTTGAGGCACTTTTGACGCGCCCCTTCCTTTAAGGGCCGATTAAGGGGTAAGGGGTAAGTTGCACACACCTGGAACCCTAGGCTGCGGCTAGATATTGACCCGAGGAATCGATTGCGACCCTTATTTTGGCGATCAGACGAACCCTTGAGGCACTTTTGACGCGCCCCTTCCTTTAAGGGCCGATTAAGGGGTAAGGGGTAAGTTGCACACATCTGGAACCCGAGGCTGCGGCTAGATATTGACCCGGGGAATCGATTGCGACCCTTATTTTGGCGATCAGACGAACCCTTGAGGCATTTTTGACGCGCCCCTTCCTTTAAGGGCCGATTAAGGGGTAAGGGGTAAGTTGCACACATCTGGAACCCGAGGCTGCGGCTAGATATTGACCCGAGGAATCGATTGTGACCCTTATTTTGGCGATCAGACGAACCCTTGAGGCACTTTTGACGCGCCCCTTCCTTTAAGGGCCGATTAAGGGGTAAGGGGTAAGTTGCACACATCTGGAACCCGAGGCTGCGGCTAGATATTGACCCGAGGAATCGATTGCGACCCTTATTTTGGCGATCAGACGAACCCTTGAGGCACTTTTGACGCGCCCCTTCCTTTAAGGGCCGATTAAGGGGTAAGGGGTAAGTTGCACACACCTGGAACCCTAGGCTGCGGCTAGATATTGACCCGAGGAATCGATTGCGACCCTTATTTTGGCGATCAGACGAACCCTTGAGGCACTTTTGACGCGCCCCTTCCTTTAAGGGCCGATTAAGGGGTAAGGGGTAAGTTGCACACATCTGGAACCCGAGGCTGCGGCTAGATATTGACCCGGGGAATCGATTGCGACCCTTATTTTGGCGATCAGACGAACCCTTGAGGCACTTTTGACGCGCCCCTTCCCTTAAGGGCCGATTAAGGGGTAAGGGGTAAGTTGCACACATCTGGAACCCCAGGCTGCGGCTAGATATTGACCCGGGGAATCGATTGCGACCCTTATTTTGGCGATCAGACGAACCCTTGAGGCACTTTTGACGCGCCCCTTCCTTTAAGGGCCGATTAAGGGGTAAGGGGTAAGTTGCACACATCTGGAACCCGAGGCTGCGGCTAGATATTGACCCGAGGAATCGATTGCGACCCTTATTTTGGCGATCAGACGAACCTTTGAGGCACTTTTGACGCGCCCCTTCTTTTAAGGGCCGATTAAGGGGTAAGGGGTAAGTTGTGCACATCTGGAACCCGAGGCTGCGGCTAGATATTGACCCGAGGAATCGATTGCGACCATTATTTTGGCGATCAGACGAACCCTTGAGGCACTTTTGACGCGCCCCTTCCTTTAAGGGCCGATTAAGGGGTAAGGGGTAAGTTGCACACATCTGGAATCCTAGGCTGCGGCTAGATATTGACCCGAGGAATCGATTGCGACCCTTATTTTGGCGATCAGACGAACCCTTGAGGCACTTTTGACGCGCCCCTTCCTTTAAGGGCCGATTAAGGGGTAAGGGGTAAGAGCTAGGGCCAAATAAAGGTCATATTCTTGCTCCCCGTCCCCCAATTGACCTAATATGAGTTTTTTAAGCGATTCTGAATCCGACGCTGTATTCGTTGCTGTTGCTGACGCTAACTTCACGGACATCACGGTAAATGGGCTGACGACCGGTCGGGGGCTAGCAGACAGCAGCAGAAAATATCAGCGTAACCACTATAGATAAAAATACTAACACAACATTCTCCTGAACTGACCCGACCTTGACCCGGTCAGCACTGAGCGCAACAATCACAAACACAAGGCTGTAATGACCTTTGCAGTCACGACAAATGCCATTCTTGTAAAGCTTCTTGCTATGAGCAATTTCGGCATGACCTTTATGTCAGGTTATAGGTTGAAAACAGACCAACGATACAAACAAATACAACAAAGTCAACACTAACCACTTCACGCAAAAAAGCCACAACACAAAAACAAAACAAAATCAGCGCGGGCGGCAGCCAGATTGAAAGATTCTAACAGCTGCCAAATCTGAAGGAATTCTTTACCATAGGAAAATGAGGTTATGCCCCAACATGGGAAGAGGTGAAGGTAAACATCAACCACCACAGTGATTGGTTGGTTGACCAGACCTGACCTGATCTGACCTGACATTGACCCGTGACTGACCTGGGACCTCCGAAGCCGCCGGCGCACCCGCAGCGGCCCGTCCACGAGTCGCAGTGGACGGACACTGAGCCCGTCTGGTTGCAGGCGCATTTCTGCCGGCCGCGGGACATTGCAGCAAGTTTTATTAATTTGACAGCTACAGAGTTTCTCTTACATCATATTCTCTATGCGATATTTATGACTTCTATGTCTATATGTAATGTATGTGTATACTGTATAGTGTCTACTGTCAAGTCTTACGTCTGCTTCTAATGGTCGTGCATAGGTCATTATCAAATAAACATTTCTGCCTGAGACAAATCATGATGCATATTAGGCGAACTGCTTAGACACAGCCTCCACTGGTGATGGACATTGGGCACTGACCCTACAGCCGGCGGTGGGGTGGTGGCCCCAGTAGCCCGGCTCACACAGCTGACAGGCGGCGCCGACTGTGTGCGGTGGACAGGTGCAGTGACCCGTGTCGGGGTCACACAGGTGACCCGGCAGGTCGCACGGACCGCACTCTGCCAACGGGACCGCCCGGTCAGCACAGCAACGTCACGATACAAAATCGGCACCTACATGTTTTCAATTTTGTATAGCCTATTAGGCTTATACATCACAAGCAGAACACAAAAATACAGCTTCGGGACACACAACATAGTTTGCCAACAGATGCATGTATGACTGACTGGCCCGACTATTCGCACCACCCCTCACCCTTTCCCGTCAATCCCTTAGTCTGTTTCTGTCCCTCTCCATCCATCCCTCCCCGTCCTCGCCTTCCGCTCACCGCGGCAGCCGGAGCTGGAGAGCAGAAAGTAGCCGGGCAGACAGGCGGTGCAGCGCGCGCCGCCGACCCCGCGCCGGCACAGGCACCGGCCAGTCTCCGGGTCACACACCTCGGGCGCAGAGCCCGGCGAGGCGCAGTCACAGCGGCGGCAGCCCGCACCCGGCCGCAGGCCGTAGTAGCCCGCCTGCAGGGGCGGAGACGGGGCGTGGGGAGGAACACAGTACCGGTCAAGCTTGAAAACGGATCGAAACTGCTCCGAATATTGTCGTTCGTAAACGGACCAGAGTTACTTCGAGCAACACCTTTTGGAAACAGATGGGCATTACTTCGAGCAGCGCCATTGGAAACGAGAAGGAGCTGCCCGAGGAGCGCCGTTTGAAAACACCGATGGTCGTGCACTGAACATAAAAATGTTCACTTAACCCGCGCCCAGATGGGGTCTGCCGAGCAACGCGGTCTGATGGGGGGGGGGGGGGCATTTTGGCCCCCCCCCTCAGATCTCGAGAACCACGCAACATAGCGACAAGCGGTAAACGGTGTTGGATAGCCCCAACGGGGAACTACCTTGTGACCCAATTTCATTGACCTCGGTCAAACCGATGACGTCACAGGTCAGGTCAAAGGTCGAATTTTCACCGTTAACAGGCATTTCAAGAAATGCGTTGTAAAATCGTGTAAAATGCATTTCATTGAAAATCATCGATGGGCAAATGTTCTTCAAACACATATTTTGCTATTTGAGGTCACTGATACCAGGTCAGGTCACAGAGGTCAGGTCACTGGGGGGTCACAATATGAAAGTGTCGTGTGATACATGTTTTATGGTCCATTTTACATGACAAATGCGATTATGTGGGTCAGACAGACTTAAGGGCCAGCTTAGGTCACGTTTTGGTCAAGGTCAGGTCAAGGTCAGGTCAAGGTCAGGTCAAATTAGGTCAAATTTCAAAGTTGATATTTTTGCATAAAATGGGTATCGATTCGATGCAGCTCGTCACGGGGAGTTCAATGGTGGTCTCCGTTTTGCGCTACGAGGTCTAGAATTGCTAAAAATTGAGTTAAAAAATTTGACGTCATCAATTTTTAACAGTTTTTTCGCTATAACTTGGCCAAAAAAAGAGGTATCGATCTAAAATTTGGTATGTATATCGAAGAGCGCAGGGACTATCACATATATTCTGGTTTTTTTTCGAAATTCGAAAAATTTAAATCAATTTTTTTGATTTTTGGGGGTCAAAATCCCAAAATTTCGAAAATCCGAGATAGCAGTTTTGTAGCGCCGTCTTTTGTCTACACAACCACATAAAGAGCTTTAAAATTGCTTGTTAACTCTAGAATTGGTGAGCGTTTCAAGATGTCATGTTTTTTGCTCATTTTTACTCGAACAAGACCTCAGTTTGACCTCAATAACTCCTGACCTGAGGTGACCTGTGACTTGAAATTTTGTGTGAAGGTGTCAAATTGATGTCCGGTAAGGTACCCAAAATTTGGCGGCGCTGCGCGCCGCCGTTTTCTCGCTATTTAAGAAAAACCACAGGGGGGGGGCCAAAATGGCCCCCCATCAGGGCGCGGGTTAATCTGCACGACAACGCACACGACCCGTTTATAAAGTACACGTTTGTAATATTTTAGATGTTACACATGGATGGTTTAGGCTTAAAAGCTGGTTTTCTGCCGTTTTGGGAGCCCCGGTAGCGTTTCAGCGAGAGTGGCTCGGGCTGTCCCGTGCCGGCAGTCATGTGCCGATCCATTATTCATGAGCCTGTAGATGGGATCGGAGGCGCGGGCCACGCGTACCGGCGGGCCGTTACCGATAAAGGATCGGCTACGCATAGCTGCGTGACGCTGCCCGCTGGCACGCGGGCCGGGGTTCCGGTCTCTACTATAGGCCGCTGACTGCCTACTGCGGCCGCTCGGCCGATAGTCATCTGGCGACTGGAATCTCTCTGCTCAATCCCTCTTCTCGGTTTAGACGATTCATACTCGCTTATTCCCGCTTATCGGCATCTCTCAATAGATAAGTACAAATATGTAAATTCAATTGAACCGCTACAATACCTTCCGTTCCGCTCGCTATTGAAGGCTCTCAAAGAAAAACGAAACGGAACAAGTTTGAGCCGTACGACATCTTCACTCCGTCACATGATGCTGAATAAATTTGGTTTTGAGATACTTCTCGGTTTGACGCGTCAGTATAAAATATATAGCCATATCCTTTGGTTCGCTTGAAATTCAAAATTATTTGATTTATATCCTCATCAACATCATATTATAGACATTTCTATGTTGATTATGGGACAGTTGTGACAGGTGTACGAATACCGATTTTCGGAGCGGACTCACCTTGCAGCGGTCACATGCCAGTCCTGTCACGTGCGGCTGACAGACACACTGTCCTGTTCGGATGTCACAGCGGGAGTGTACCGAGCCGACAGGGTCGCACCGGCAGCCTGGGAAGGGCAGCCGGCGTGTTAGCACTCTGCGAGGCTGTTCAGATAATTCGATTAGGTCGGACGAGTTAGCACTTCGAATCACTTCACGAGGGTCTACATCGGACATCCCATTAGATCCATTTATTCTTGCAGGAGTAACTAACGGTTTATTGCATGAACAAGGAACGATTAACCCGCGACCTGGTGGGGGGGGGGGCTATTTTTTGCCCCCCCTCCAGACTTTTCGATATATCTCCAGAACCGCTGCGCCGATCGTCACCAAACTTTCAGTACCCTCCCGGACATCAATTTTACACATTGTGACCAAAAATTTTTCCAAAAGCTATGATAGGTTGGCCGGAAATGACGTCAGAGTGACGTCATGTTCTGCCGTTTTCGACCCAAAAAAGGGTTTCGCGGGAAGAGCTGTCAGGCCTATAGCTTTGCAAATACAGAAAAATGTTTAGGACATAAAAGCTGTAGAATTGACAGGGCTACAAAACTGCTATCTCGTATTTTTGAATTTTTTTATTTTGACCCCCAAAAATAAAAAAAATAGATTTTTAGGATATAATAGTAAAAAAATCCAAAAAGTTTTTTGAATTTCGCAAAAACCGGAATATATGTGATAGTCCTTACCGCCTTCCATCCACATACCAAATTTTAGATTGATACCTCTTTTTTTGGCGAAGTTATAGCGAAAAAACTGTTCAAAATTGATGACGTCAAATTTTCAAACTCAATTTTTAGAAATTCTAGACCTCGTAGTGCAAAACAAAGACCACCATTAGACTCCCCGTGACGAGCTGCATCGAATCGATACCCTTTTTATGCAAAAATATCAACTTTGAAATTTGACCTTTTTTGACCTGACCTTGACCTGACCTCCACCAAAAAGTGACCTAAACCGTACCTGATGGTCTTATAACCAACACCATTGGGTTGGAAATGAAAAACTGGTCATAAAACATGCATCGCACAACCTTAGTAAAGTTGGGTTCATGTGGTGACCCTTGGTGACCTTTGGTGACCTGACCTGTGACCTGACCTGGTATGACCAGTGACCTCTAATAGCAACATATGTACTAGACAACTGACGTCTGATCGCTGATTTTCGACAAAATGCGTTTTACTCGGTGATATAGCGCTTTCCCTAGAAGCCCCGTGAACGGTGAAACATTTTATCTTTGACCTGACCTGTGACGTCATCGGTGACCCCGATGTCAATAAAATTTGGTTTCCTTCAACAAATTTGACAGGGCTATCGAACGCCGTTTGAATTTTGCGGATCCGTCCAGTAGTTTCGGAGATACGAGGGGGGGGCAAAAAATAGCCCCCCCCCCCCACCAGGTCGCGTTATAAACAGACCCCACCAGGGCGCGGGTTAAGTCTGTTCTGAACACAAGGCACACAACTTTGTATCAATATCTCAACTTCAACGCGATCGAAAGCTGTATCCAGCTTGAGATATGAGCTGTTCGCACACGTACACAAAGTCAACTGTCAAAGAGGCCGACGCTACGGCGGTGAGGAAGTGGGAGAGTGGGAGCTGGGAAGTGGAGGATGGAGGCGGCACCCGCCATTGAAGTGCGGCCCGCCCTCCCGGTCCCGATCGCCCGCTGACAGGTCTTATCAACGGCAAACAGAGCGTGGCGCCACGATACGCCGCCAAGTGTGCGTGCAAAGCCAGCCGGGCGCGCCGGGCGCCGCCGGCGTCACATGGGCCGTGTCGGGGCGGCAACGGCTCCAGACAGGAGACAGGAGAGGCGCCGTAACGGACAGGACAGCCGCCGGCCGGAGACAGGACAGCCGCCAGACAGGGCGGACCGGCCGGCCGGACACCGATGAGCCGAGAGCCACCGCTGCTACTTGCTATGGATGAGGCCGGCGGTCCGGCCGGTCAGCTTGTCATCATACATCACGGCACCTATAAACACGCGTCGGGGGGCCGCCGGCCGCCGCCTACCACTTACGGAAGGGGATCATTTACAAGGGGAGCGGCGCCGACCGGCCACGGCACGTGCCGGACAGGTGGATATACCTGGCGGCGCCCAGCGAGATCATGACAGTCCATCGGGACGATAGTCGTCTTCCCGGATCATAACGAGACAGCGTCTCTTTGGGTCCATGTCAGTCCGTCTGACAGTCCACCATGACGGCGGATGCTATAGGACCATGGCAGCAGACAATGCATTTGGAGCCCCATAACGCACCCCAGCCATGTCAATCCATCGCCTGCGTAACATAACCCGCCTGGACTCAGCAGCCCCCTTCATTTCTTGCCGTTTATTTCTCCCGTCGACAAGCCTGAAATGCTGCTCCCTCACGTGCAGACAACAGCCCTCGAGGCGGCTCGACACGGTACGGTCCGACGCGGAGAGTACCGACGGCCCACGGCCCGTCGGCGGCGACTGCGGCCCTCTGCCCCCCCCCCCCCCCCTCCTCTCCTGTTGATGGCACCGATAAACAGTGCGTACGCTCGTCGCTCACACAGTTCGGCGCCGCGTCAGGTTACTCGCCGCCTGGGAACCCCGGTAGCGGACCGCGGTGTGAGACGTCAGTGGGCAGTGCTCCGGAGATGAGGATTCGGGGAGTCTGGAAGGAGCGAAACGGTCTCAGTGGCGGGGAGCTCTATGAGCTAGTAGATTCATCTTATGATGCGGGAAACTCGGTGACTGAGCCAACTGCATTGATTGTAATGCTAAATACGACTCGATCGGAACCATTAAATTGTAACGGACGCTCCGGAGAATTTAGTGCACTTTGCATAACTCAAAACTGATATTTTAAAGAGGATGAACAGAGTATATCCGGGTTACACAGGTACAGTTCTTAAAACGTTCGTAAGTATATATTATATATTCGTTACAATCACCGTTATCCGCGTACCAAAAATGCGTGGGTGTCCACTTCCAGCTATGCATGCTATGAGTGGGTTGGAATGCGGTAATGATAGGTGTCGTCACAATGCTATCAAGTGACGCAGGTGCATTGCAGATCCTTATGGGTCCGTTACTCATCTGGTAAACACGAGTGTAGCAGTGCATTGATAATGTGCTGAGTAAGTATTGTTTGGCATTTGACTCATGCAGAGTTGGCTGGTCTATTTAAAACGATCACAGAGATACCAAAAATTGATCTATCCTTCGCAGCGTACCTATATCGAATTCGGTTTCACGAGAGTAAAGGATTAATATAAGCAAGCCGCGTGAAAATTGCTCACAATCATTCGGACTTTAATCTGTTGTGTTCTTACGTCCTTGTTTCTCAGCAGGAGGGGAGGCTTTGATGCCCTGATGCCGAATATACAGACAGTGCAGGCTATTTGCATCTAAGTTGGCGTCCGTATTCCGTGTACAAGCAGTAAGAAATTGGGCATATACGCAATATGTATTTAGTACCTACGGTCGGAAATTACCACACATGGTGGTTGACTGGTCTGGGCTGCAGAAATTGTGTTATTTGTGGGATCGGCTGCCTTCGAAACTGGCAGTGTGCTTCGAAGCCGGCTGCCAAGAGTCAACAAATCAACATCAATCACCATGAAATATTGACGTTCTAATGCACCCTTCCGAACGTTTCACACGTTGGTAGCTGACACTGCCTACTAATCATTGATATAGGTAAGGAAAGCGTTGCGGCGGAGGGCAATCTTGACTTGGCATTATTTCACGAAAGTTGCAGACAGTAAAAAGATATGCGCTTCTGGATGAGACATAACTACAGGGTTGCCGATGGCTAAGAGCTAAGCCAAAAACAAGTGAACTATGTAAGCCAGCTAAGCCATTTGTGTTCCCTCCGAGAACACGGTCGATGCTCTTGTTCCGCGTGTGGAAACTCACCGTATTGGAGCCCCCTCCAGTCCCGGTACAGTCGATCCTGTCCCCTGTCCAGGTACTCGGCGGCTACTGCCGTGGCCAGCAGCAGCGGCACCCACACCCTCAGCGACCTCATGGCACACCGGTCACCGTTCTGGGCGCCGCTCGGCCCGCCCTCCGCCACCGTCAGCGCCGCACTGAGCGATGGGAGCCGAGAGCCGGGCCGCCGACCGCCCACCCCACCCCGCCCCGCCCCGCCCCCTAGCCATGAGACGCGACGGTGCCGACGGTCATTACAGCACGTGAGAGGGAGGGGGAGGGGAGGGTGAGCTCATAAATTGATAGAGACAGAGTAGCGACAGCTCGAGTGTAGTGTGTACGTCTTTCGGAAAATGCAAGTTCAGTAAAATATTAAATGTATGATTATGCATGCACATTTAACGGTACACGTCTCAGATATTGTTTGACGCATTTACTGTACGAATTCTGATTTCTGATGTTGACTTTGAAACCAAGTTGATTAACAAAGTCGTTAATGACCCCTGCAAGAGCCATTAGTTTCCCGTGGAAAAATGTAGGTTGTATTTATAAATTAATTAACCCTCGCCCATGTAGGGGGGGGTTGGTGCAACCCCCCCCCCCTGAGGTTTTTCGGAAATAGTGCAAAAACGGCGGCGCGCAGCGCCGCCAAATTTTGGGTACCTTATGGGGCAAACCTTGCGCATCTTTTGATAAAAAAAAATTTGACCGGGTCATGTCAGGTCACGGAGTTATGACGTCACAAAGGGAACAGCCTCCGGCCGGATTTTCACAAACTGAGTGCCAACGCCCGAGGTTTCCTGCCGGTGGTACGGACATCGGTTGATGGATCGTGATGAAACTTCCCATGCATGTTGGGGCAAGTATTGGCTATCATATGGTATAAGAAACTTGACCGGGTCAGGTCAGGTCACGGAGCTATGACGTCACAAGAGGAACAGCGTCCGGTACTATTTTTGAAAAGCGCCCGAACCACTATTTTGCTAATTCTTGTCACCTCAATGGGAATATGCAGCAATATTAGCTTCTATAGGGAGCAAATGGACCTTCCAAATCCAAAAATACAATCAGATTTCAAAAATTTAAATTTTGATTTTTCGAATTTCTGCCGCCGACTGTGACCTAGCCGACTTCCGGCGCTCCCAACGCGCCATTTTTAGAGCTAGGGAAACGAAATACATACCAAACGATAGAGAATTGATCAAGGAACACGATAGTGAAGGTTTCAAGTCGATATCTCCCACCGTTTTGCCGCAATCGCCGCGGAAAGTTGAAAAAGTATATTTTTCCGAAAATTTGACCTTTGACCGGTCAAAAGTAGGTCAAATGTTGACCTAGGACCAAAAAATATACCACCAATCGCGAGATCTCGGCGAGAGCAATCCGATGGTCTTTTCCGCTAAGCTCTACGACGCTCCGTTTTCAAACGCCAAGGGGGGGGGGGGGGTCGCACCAACCCCCCCCCTGCATGGGCGAAGGTGGCAGATCGCCGTTTACGGGCGAGGGTTAACGGAGCCACGGACGGTTTCTAAATTGCAAAGTCCTGGCTTCCGTCGTTTTTGTTTATTTTTGACATTATGCCTTGTGCACATAGATTTGCTTTACTTTGCATTTTTATTTGTTTGTCCCTTTACAAAATAAACGTCAACTGAGCCAGGGTTTACTTGGGACTGATCCAGCCGATTTATCACAACGATCGGCCCTGTATTAAATAAGTGATTCTTACAATTATGCCAGCTCAATTTCTCCCGATGCATTAGATATCCCATCCGCACTTGTCGTGCAGCTGCGGGCCTGTCTGCTGGGTGACCGGGCTGACCTCAGGCAGCTGCAGACAGCGCGGTGGGACACCGGGACAGGGTAGTTCAGCTGGTTAGTTACCCTGACGTCTGACAAATGGACCGTCACCTGCAGCGGGCGGGGTCGGTGGAGACCGGCGCCGCTGCGCCGACCCGAAACTTTGCAGTGAAGAGGGTAAGAAGAAGTTGGGTCGTGAAGCCCCTCCGAGTTATCATCAGCTGGCCGAGAGCTGATGCTGTGATGGCGATTGCTTTGGAGAAGATTATTCTTACTCATAATTCTGAGCTTTGACTTGAAACAGTCTGGTTATTACTTTTTTACAAGATCCTCACTTATCTCATTAACAAACTATCCCGTATAAATCGTGTAATGCGTAGATTGAACAATGCACATCCAACCCAGGTAGTGATCATCTCAAAATAAATGAATTAATCGATTCGACAAGAGACGGCTGCCACTGTAAGCACTCTCCGTGGGAGACAGAGCGAGTTGGCTCGTCACCGGCTCCTGTCTCACTGTTTATCACAGACCGCGCTGTCCATCTAACCGCGCGGCACTCGTCTGCCCTCGAGTGGGTCACCCCAGGTCACCGCGGGCCGCCGCGCTGCACGGTCTCGGTGCAGTGCAGTGCTGGTCCGCAGTCCGCACCGGCTGATTAGCGGAGACGCTGGCGGCGTCCGTCGGCAAACGAAGACAGACACCACCAGCGAACTGCCCCGGCTATTGTTTACCCTGGCAGTCGCCGGCGCGAAGCAGGGTGGCGCGCCAGCGGTCTGTGAGAAAATATTTCACTCTGATCTGGGAATTTGCATCTGGTGTTGATAGGCTGTGCTAGTGAGTGTATAACACGGCCGACTTTTGTCCGACCTCCGGTAGTACGATCCCACCCTCGACGGGCGCGCCGTCACCATGGCGGGACAGGTGTCACCTGAGTGGCCCAGTGTGTCTGTATGCGTGGGCCGCAGTGTTACCGTATCGGCCGCCGGCACGACGCGGCTGTATATCGCAGCCGCCCGTCCCGTGACGTGGCGCAGGCTGAGATATCGGGGCGACGAGTCACGGCGTCACTGCTGTGTGTAACGGAGCCGGAACTGGGAGATAGCCCGGTATCACCTCCATGGTATCACCCGGAGCCGGAACTGAGGGACATCCTACCCCACGCAGGACCTGGCAACACTGAAAACTGCGCGATGCATACCGGTCTTTTGTTCGTTTATGTTCGCATATGGTCAATTCTTCAGTTATACGGTCACTAAATTATGCGGTTACTGGGACGGACAAAAAACGGTATACAGTCGTTTGCATACGTCTATGGTCTTTTAAATGTAAACGGTCACTTATCGTTAATACGGCACACACTCGCCTATTTCCCTTGATACTATCAGTTACATGAATTTATACTACCTAAACATTGTCGTCCCTCCCATGTAGGTACACACCTCTAAAGCCGGGAACGCTCAGAAGCCGGAACTACAAAAACTACCTTCATGCCGAATCGACATTTTCACTAGCACCCGGAACGGACAGACCTCCTTACCGATACGGAATCTGTCGGCACGCAGAGCTGACTGTAACCTCTTTCCCTCCCTTCCTCTCTCCCTCTCTCTCTCTCTCTCTCTCTCTCTCTCTGTCTCTCTCTCTCTCTCACCAGTCACCCCTTTGACGTCTGAAGCTGGCCGTTTGTCTCTGTCGGCCTTCGCTCGACCTTGCAACAATGCCAGTCGGCCGGATACGGCGGCGCCGGCGGCGCGGCGGCGACTCAAACGGCGCGCGCCACCGCGAACACGGCGCACCGCGCCATATATGGCGCAGTCGGCACAGCCGGGCGCCACGGGTAGCGGGGAAGACGCGCGCGGCTGCAGGCTGGCGTTCAAAGCGCGCCTCCGACTTCTTACGGCTGTCGGGATAAGGGGGCAGCTTTGATTAGACGGTTTTACGTACCTAATACAACTTATTATCATTGCGTAAAAGAGAGGTTTCTAAATTAATTGAGGCCCTGTTTTAAGCGCAACTTATACAATAAAATATATGCTCCAAAACGCATGGGTTTTCTGCATTGTGTCTCGTGTATGGGCGCCGCTGCTGTAGGTATGCGGTTCGGTGTCGCCCTATGCGGCTGATAGCACAGTCGCCCCGACTGACGCCGTCGGTTATGTACTCGTATGTATATGTGGGTCACCAATGCACGCCCAACTGGGAAGGTCGGCGACTGCTGACTCTGCGGCTATCAGCCCAGCGTGATCTGATAACCTCCAAACACACGGATTCATGTAACGTCTAATCTGCCTCATGATACGCGACTTTATCGGACTGATAATAGGTACCGCTTTTTATAACATAAGCTTGGAAGTTAAATTTAAACGTTATGACGTTGCAAACAAACTTTGCAACTACGTTACAAACATATTCTTTGAAAATGGAATGGGAAACGTTTGTTCTGACGGCACATATATGCAGCAGAGCCAGACACGCTATGCCTAAACTACTTTGACCCTATAACTTTCGTATTGCAAACGTATATAGGGGAGGGGTCCTTTTTGGACACCCCCTTGCCGTTCGGCCCCTGAGTGAGCTAGAGCTTTGCGGAAAAACCGCTCGTATTGCCCGTGATGAGAGGAAACCGATTGTATTGTATTGTATTGTACATACATTTCAGAGCGATCCACATTCCAAATAGCGTGGCGATTATTGCTCCGATTGTTGGTTGTTCTGTATCGTATTTCAGTCGGAAATAAATGCAGCAATGCGTCACTTGTAGGAGGTATATCATCTTGCGTGGCTGGCACACTACTTCTCAGCAGCCCTTGATACAGCAGCTCGTCTGCAGCCGCACGCACGACGCATACATGCACACGACCTCCCCGGCCGGACGCACACCGCACCGTCCCGGTCGGCCGGCCGTGGCCCGTCACAGGCCGTACTGGCGCGACACCTACTGACAGATGGTTAAACCTGTATTTGAGTAGAGGACGCCAAAGTCGCGGTAATAGTTCACAGCATAATAATTTTACCCAATTTGACCCAATCTTAAGGTCCTGGGTCATTGGGTGACCTTCCAGGTCTGGTCAATGACCCAAAATTCGGGAAAATCGTGACATGTCAGAACTTCGTGAAGTGAGGTTATGTTTTTTTTCGGGGTACTGAATGCTGATCACGAATTTCATGTTAGTTTTGATCACAGATGGTGTCTTCCTGCATTTTGGCCAGGTCGGGTCAGGTCAGGTCAACCAGTTGGGGTCCTGCCGGGTATTCGTAGTATATGTCAACCGCCTCTGACAGCTTCGTTACATGTTTTTTTTTAAATTTTTAGTCCGAACCTTTTGATGGGAAGGATTCACAAGG